CTATGACAGAACAAGAGCAACAATGTCGGTGCCATGAGAATTATGCCTACTTACAGTGGTTAGGAAACTCATCTTTTTATTCGTTGGAAAACAAATTTTGATAAATTGTATCAGAATGGACCCTTAAATGAAACCCTAGAAGGTTAATATGTTTTACAAAAATGTTGCTCATAGTCTCCTTATTAGTATCTCAGAACACCTTAAATTCCCAAAATATAAGGAAATGTAAGGAATCTTACAAAATATTTGTATGCACTAGGGATCATTTTTTATCATCATTAACAAAAAATTAATAAACGAACCCTATAAGGAGTTGCTAGAGGGTTAATGTGTTCTGGAGAAATGTTCCTCATAGTGCCCCAGAAAATATCTTGGAATACACCATATACCTATGATGACAGGATCAGAGGATATCCTAAATAGCTTTTTTATATTATTACACAATATAATGCTTTTTAACACTTTTTTGGGAAAATGTACCAGAAACCACATTTAAATGAAACGCTAGAGGGTTAATATGTTCTACAAAAATTTAGCATGTTTTGTTCTTAATAATATCCTGGAATAATTTTAATACCTACAATTTAAGGACTCCCAGGAATCTTATAAAACTTTATTGTCCATACGGGGTAATTTTTATCACCTTTGCCAAAAAGCTACCAAACGAACCCTATAATCAGTTGCTAGAGGGTTAATGTGTTCTGCAGAAATGTTCCCCATAGTGTCCTGGAAAACATCTTGGAACACACTATATGCCTAAAATGGCAGGATCAGAGGATATCCTATATAGCTTCGTTATATAAATAATGCTTTTTAACACTTTTTGGGAAAATGTACCGGAAAATACCCTTTCATGAAACGCTAGAGGGTTAATATGTTCTACAAAAATTTAGTATGTTATGTTCTTAATAATATCCCGAAATAATTTTAAGACCTAAAATTTAAGGACTACCAGGAATCGTACAAAACTTTATTATCCATACAGGATAATTTTATCACCTTTGCCAAAAAGTTATCAAACGCAGCCTATAATCGGTTGCTAGAGGGTTAATATGTTCTACAGAAATGTTCCCCATAGTGTCCTGGAAAATATCTTGGAACACATCATATACCTAAGATGACGGGATCAGAGGATGTACTATATAGCTTCGATATATAAATAATAATTTTTAACACTTTTCTTTGGGGAAATTACCAGAAAACACCTTTTAATGAAACGCTAGAGGGTTAACATGTTCTACAAAAATTTAGTATGTTGTGTGCCTCATAATATGCCGAAATAATTTTAATACCTAAAATTTAAGGATTCCCAGGAATCATAGAAAACTTTATTATCCATACGGGGCAATTTTTATCACCTTTGCCAAAAAGCTTTCAAACGAACCCAATACTCTGTTGCTAGAGGGTTAATGTATTCTACAGAAATGTTCCCCATGGTGTCCTGGAAAATATCTTGGAACACACCATATACCTATGATGACAGGATCAGAGGATATCCTATACAGCTTCGTTATATAAATGATGCTTGTTGACACTTTTTTGGGAAAATGTACCAGAAACACCTTTTAATGAAACACTAGAGGGTTAATATGTTCTACAAAAATTTAGCATATTATGTTCTTAATAATATCGTGGAAAATTTTAATACCTAAAATTTAAGGATTCCAAATAATTTTAGAAAACTTTATTGTCCATACGGGACAATTTTTACCAACTTTGCCAATATAGCTATCAAACGACCCCTATAATCGCTTGTTGGAGGGTTAATGTGTTCTACAAAAATGTTCCCCATAGTGTCCTGAAAAATATCTTGGAACACACAATTTACCTAAAATGACAGGATAAGAGGATATACAAAATAGCTTCGTTATATTATTACACAAAATAATGCATTATATCACTTTTTTGGAAAAATGTACCAGAAATAACCTTTTAATGAAACGCTAAAGGGTTAATATGTTCTACAAAAATTTAGCATGTTATGTTCTTAATAATATTCCGGAACAATTTCAATACCTAAAATTTAAGGATTCCCAGGAATCTTAGAAAACTTTATGATCCATACAGGACAATTTTTATCACATTTGCCAAAAAGCTATCAAACGAACCCTGTAATCGGTTGCTAGAGGGTTAATGTGTTTTGCAGAAATGTTCCCCATAGTGTCCTGGAAAATATCTTGGAACACACCGTATACCTATGATGAGAGGATCAGAGGATATCCTATATAGCTTCGTTATATAACTACAAAAAATAATGCTTTATATCACTTTTTTGGAAAATGTACCGGAAAATACCTTTTCATGAAACGCTAGAGGGTTAATATGTTCTACAAAAATTTAGCATGTTATGTTCTTAATAATATTCCGGAATAATTTTAATACCTAAAATTTAAGGATTCCCAGGAATCTTAGAAAACTTTATTATCCATACGGGGCAATTTTTATCACCTTTACCAAAAAGCTATCAAACTTAGCCTATAATCGATTGCTAGAAGGTTAATGTGTTTTACAAAAATGTTCCCTATGGTGTGCTAGAAAATATCTTGGAACACATCATATACCTAAGATGACAGGATCAGAGGATATCCTATATAGCTTCGTTCTATAAATAATGCTTTCTAAGATTTTTTTGGGGAAATGTACCACAAAACACCTTTTAATGAAACGCTAGAGGGTTACTATGTTCTACAAAAATGTAGCATGTTGTGTCCTTAATAATATTCCGTAATAATATTAAGACCTAAAATTTAAGGACTACCAGGAATCTTAGAAAACTTTATTATCCTTAAGGGGAAATTTTTTATCACCTTAGCCAAAAAGCTACCAAACGACCCCTATAAGGAGTTGTTTGAGGGTTAATGTGTTCCGCAGAAATGTTCCCCATAGTGTCCTGGAAAATATCTTGGAACACACCATTTACCTAAAATGACAGGATCAGTGGATATCGTATAAAGCTTCGTTATATTACTACAAAAAATAATGCTTTATATCACTTTTGTGGGAAAATGTACCGGAAAATACCCTTTCATGAAACGCTAGAGGGTTAATATGTTCTACAAAAAATTAGCATGTTATGCTCTTAATAATATCCCCGAAATAATTTTAATACCTAAAATTTAAGGATTCTCAGGAATCTTAGAAAACTTTATTATCCATACGGGACAATTTTTATCATCTTTGCCAACAAGCTACCAAACGAACCCTATAATCTGTTGCTAGAGGGTTAATGTGTTATGCAGAAATGTTCCCCATAGTGTCCTGGAAAATATCCTGGAACACACCGTATACCCATGATGGCAGGATCAAAGGATATCCTATAAAGCTTCATTATATTATAATGATTTTGAACACTTTTCTTTGGGGAAATGTACTAGAAGATATCTTTTAATGAAACGCTAGAGGGTTAATATGCTTTACAAAAATTTAGCATGTTATGTCCTTAATAATATCCCGAAATAATTTTAATACCTAAAATTTAAGGATTACCAGGAATCTTAGAAAACTTTATTATCCATACGGGGCAATTTTTATCACCTTTGCCAAAAAGCTATCAAACGAACCCCATAATCGGGTGCTAGAGGGTTAATGTGTTCTACAGAAATATTCCCCATAGTGTCCTGAAAAATATCTTGGAACACACAATTTACATAAAATGGCAGGATCAGAGGATGTACTATATAGCTTCGTTATATAAATAATGCTTTTTAACACTTTATTGGGAAAATGTACCGGAAAATACCCTTTTATAAAACGCTAGAGGGTTAATATGTTCTACAAAAATTTAGTATGCTGTGTGCTTAATAATATCCCGAAATAATTCTATTGCCTAAAATTTAAGGATTCCCAGGAATCTTAGAAAAATTTATTATTCATAACGGGCAATTTTTATCATCTATGCCAAAAAACTACCAAACGAACCCTATAATCGGTTGCTACAGGGTTAATGTGTTCTGCAGAAATGTTCCCCATAGTGTCCTGGAAAATATCTTGGAACACACCATATACTTATGATGACAGGATCAGAGGATATCCTACATATCTTTTTTATGTTATTACACAATATAATGCTTTTTTACAATTTTTTGGGAATATGTCCCAGAATCACATTTTAATGAAACGCTAGAGGGTTAATATGTTCTACAAAAATTTAGCATGTTGTGTGCTTAATAATATCCTGGAATAATTTTAATACCTTACATTTAAGGATTCCCAGGAATCTTAGAAAACATAATTATCCATACGGAACAATTTTTATCACCTTTGCCAAAAAGCTATCAAACGCAGCCTATAATCGGTTTCTAGAGGGTTAATGTGTTCTACAGAAATGTTCCCCATAGTGTCCTTGAAAATATCCTTTAACACACCTTTTGCCTAAAATGCATGGATCTCTGGATATCCCATGTAGTCCACTTATATTATTTTAGCCTTTTAAAACTTCTTTAAAAAATGTACCAAAATCTGCCCTTTAAATGAAACCTTAGAGGGTTAATATGTTTTACAAAAATGTTGCTCATAGTATTCCTAATATTCCAGAAGAACATACCTCGCATACCTGAAATTTAAGAATTTCCTGAAATCGAATGAGCATTTTTTATCTAAAAGGGACAATTTTTATTACCCTTTCCAAAAAGTTACCAAACGACCCCTACAATGAGTTGCTAATGGGTTAATGTGTTCTGCAAAAATGTTCCCCTGGGAAATATCCTGAAATACACCCCAACCATAAAAAGTAAGGATCACTGGGTATCCCATGCAGACTCGTTATACAATTGTGTAAAAAGTTATATTTTCACCATTTTTATTTTTGGGAAAAAGGTGCCGAAAAGACCCCTAAAAAGTCTTGTTGGAGGGTTAACATAGTCTACAAAAATGTTTGGCATAATGTTAGCAACAATTTTCCCTGGCTATACCCATTACCTAAAATTTGAGACTACCAAGAAATTTTATCAATTTTTTTCTTACTTATTTCTCTTCTTTTCCTCTCTCCTCTCTCTCCGCAGATCGTTCCACATTGTCACAATGTAAATGAAAACCCAGCGCTCCCAGTTTGTCCACTCTCAATTCTAAATGCTGAAACACACATCGAATGCTGGCGGGCCGGCTAATGGTCAGGTGCGCAACGGTAGCGGCTCAACGGGACCGGCGCGCAGTATTCAATTGCGACCGCAACAGCCCTTGAATATATCAACCCTTAGCTCGAGCAGTTTACAGACATCTGCTAAGACGGGAACACCAACAAATACGACAAATGCCAATGGGGGACCACGACTCTCGACGCTGCTGAATATTGCCTCCTCATTGCCGCCGCTACCACCGCCACCAACAACAGCAACGACGACCACGATATCAACAACAAATACCGGCAATTTGATAACAGCTGTTGGAGGTGGTGGTGGTGGTGCTGGTGCTGGACAACAACAACAACCACCTTTGCCACCTCTGTTACCACCGTCCAGCTTAAATGGAAATGGTAATACCGCACCCACACCTGTCACCCCCATCAATAGTCATTTGACACCGAATGGTCTGAGTGGTATTGGCAATAATTTACACACCTATACCAATCAACATATTGCCCTGGCTCAGGTGAGCAATGTGGCCGGCAATGGTAATGGAGGGGGTGGGGGTGGTGGTGGTGTTATGGGTAATGGCATGGCCAATCACAGTTCCAATCCGCTCAATACCACCCAACACACAAATTACACGAATTATACCAACCCCAATGTAACCACCGTGCACAACAAATCAAAACATGGTCCTGGGCCCAGGGAGGCCCTCACAAGTTTGGGTCTGCTGTGCTTGGGTAAGTTTTTAGATTTTATTTCGGGAAATTTAATTAATTTTTCCTTTTTGTTGCAGTTTCCTTACTCTTGGCTTTGTTGTCCTTGATTTTCCTGCTCAAAATTTCTCCAAATGCCAGAGAGGATGCCCTGACCCGCAGCTCTCCCGAGGATTTTATAATTGTCTATGATGTCACCTTGGCCCTGTGTGCCCTGTCGTTATCCCTGAATCTTTGCTGCCTATTGGTGTGTGCTATACAATTTTTGTTTGCCGTCAAGTTGGTCAGGTCGCCCATGTTTGATGGCAGGTAAGGGGGATAGAGGTTATGTTTTTTGAGATTTTTTTCAAATTTTTTGGTGTTTCTCGTTTTAGGGACAATCGTTATTTGGAAAAGTCCAGTACCAGTCGCACCTGTGCTGTGGGTGGCTTTTTCATTTCGATACCTATTTTTTTGACTGGTGAGTGGCCAACATTATATCTGCATACCCTGAAGCTAACCTCACTTTTCTCTATTTTTTCTTTACAGGCATAATTCTCTACACCTTCAATCATTTCCACTCCACCCCCGCCATAATAACCAGTATCTTAATTGGTATTGGCATTATATTTTGTGGTGCTGCCATGGTCCATAACGTCTTCGTCTGGCAAAAGGAGAAAACCATTAGCTATCGTAGTCCAACATCAGCAGCAGCAGCAGCAGCGACGGCGGCCGCCGCCATGCAACACATGTCCTTGGTCTCCCAAATTGGACCCCTTACCCCACCCGTTCAGTTCTTAAATCATCCGCCTCATCTGAATTTCAATCAATCGAATATAAGTCAACTTTTACATCCCACCTCCATTACACCGGTATCACCGAATCATTCCCATGGCAGTTTTAATCCTCTAACCGCCCTAAGTTCCTCGTTTATGATGCGGCCCTCAACGGCCACACCGCCCACACCCAAACCCATTGCCAACGGCAGTTGTCTGTCCCCGGCAGCAGCAGCTGTGGCCCGAGAAGCCAGTGGCTCTGTAAGTCCCGGCATACCACCAACCTTGGACATGAGCAATGTCACCAGCATATCGCTGCACGAACTATCAACCCTAGTTTAGATCTACGAATGATTATTGTTATTTTGTAATTGTTGTCCATAGTTTTAGCAGCCTAAACTTAATTTAAGATAAACTCGACGATGTAAGGACCTACTTCTCTTGCCACCCAGATCCAGTGAAAAGTGTACTTATTATTTAATTAAAACAAAAAATAAAAAAACAAATTGTAAATATCGAACTTATTATAGAAATATAAGTATACAATACTTTGTTTATTTAATGTCAAGGTCATAGAAATAAGCTCGAATTTTTAAGGATTTTTTTTAAATAAAAAAAAAACTATTTAACGAACATAACCATAAAACCATTTTTTTGAAAAAAAAAAAAAAAAAAAACATAACCTCAAAAAATTTATTTTGGGCATAATCTCAACGAAACTTTGTCCTGAGTCCTGTTGGAATGTCCAAGGTCTGCGGCCAAAATGTATGCGTGCCCAAGGCTTTAATACACCCTTCACAATATTTTCGCGATAAAATTTGGCATTTATTCTGATGCCACGATCGATTAATACAAGCGGAGAGCGACCATCGGCTATTATGGCAGCCCACACCATCACCATGACCGGCGCTTGAGTTCTGGTGGCCAATCGGAGGTGCACATTTTCAGCTGACCTCTTTGGCAAGTAAACACGATAATTTGGACAACGAATGTTTTCTCCTCGGAGAAAACCAAAGTCGGCATTTCACCACTTTCAGCGAAGCAACTCTTTAGGGTCTATTTTCTTTCTGTTGCGGTGTAAGTTCTTGCACTTTTTTGAATTTCAATGGCTTTACTCCGAGCCAAATTTTTCAATATTTGTCAAATGGAAAATTACGATGTGTTCAGCTCACGAGCCATTTTTCGGCCACTGCGACGCGGGTTTCGATCAAGTCGCTTCTTTACTTTTCGAACTGCTGCATTTCTGCTGATGTTGCTGTTTTCTTCCGTCCACTTCCTTGACGTCGGGCTACTCTACCAGTATCACGGTAACGAGCGATGGTACGAGACATAAAAGATTGATTCAGATTTAAATGCTGGAGTGCTCTAACCATAGCAACTTGTGGTTTTCCCCAGCCAAATATAAAGAAATGACACTGTCACGTTTGAATTCCATCACGAATAACTTTCTTTCCGGAAAATTCTCACCAAAATGCTTTTGTACGCTTGTAAACAATATAATTAGCTGTCACTGGAATAATTTTACCAGCTTTCGGACGAGTGGCTTGGTAATGACAGCAATCTGAAGTTGGTTGCAGTTTTTTCATCTCACCCCATTATTTATCAGTACGCAGGTTAAGTTCGTAAATGGTCAACGTTTTCGTATAGCCCCCATTTAACGCTATCTCCCGATATTCGTGTTTTTCATGATTTTAAAATTATTTCAAATTTCATATCTAAAGTTCGTAAAGGGTACTACAGCCTATGATAAAAATTGTTGTATGCAGGTCGACGTCTTCGTATTGCCCCCATATCACGGTACCTCCCCATATTCGGTATTTTGATGATTTTAGTGACATTATTCCCCCGAAATGTTTCAAATTTAATATTTGAAGTTCTTAATGGATACTACAGCCTATTACAGAAAATTGTCTGTGCAGGTCCACGTCTTCGTATAGTACATCTCTATATTCGGTATTTTGATGATTTTAGCTACATTATTCACCGATTTTTTTTTCACATTTGAATTTTGTAATGGCTTATGACAAAAGGCACCTTTTATGCAGGTCCACGTCGTCGTATAGACACTAATATAACTTTGCAAATCCTGATATTTACGTCAGTTCTAGGTCAGGTGCAAAAATGGATAATATCGGTCCACTCCATCAAGTACCTCCCCCACAAAGGACGAAATTTTGAATATCCATCAAGCTCTTAAAACACTAAATTAACATCCGATTCCATTCAGACTTGACACATCTCAATATTTTCATAAACGCAAGATCTTTCATAAAGATGGTAGAGATCGGACCATTCGTTCTGGTACCTCCCACACAAAGGACGTAAGTTTTGAATAATCAAAACAAGCAAAGATTGCGAAATAAACATCCGATTCTCTTCATATTACAGACGTCCCATTATTTCTACTAACTCAAGATCTGGTGTGAAGATGGAATACATCAGTCCACTCCTTCTGGTACCTTCCCCACAAAGGGTCAAAATTTTGAGTATCCATGAAGCTCATAAAACGCAAAATTAACATCCGATTCTATTCAGACTTGTATCATGTAAGAGACCGATTGACTTCAAATTTTACATATCCCAATAATTTTAGTAACCCAAGGCCCGGTGCCTGCCAAGATGGAATACATCAGTCCACTCCTTCTGGTACCTTCCCCACAAAGGGTCAAAATTTTATGTATCCATGAAGCTCGTAAAACGCAAAATTAACATCCGATTCTATTCAGACTTGGAGCTTCTCAATATTTTCATCAACACAAGATCTGTTTAAAAGATGATAGAGATCGGACCCTTTTTTCTGGTACCTTCTCACATAGGGTTCAAGATTTTTAAAAACAAAACGCTCAAGGAATTCGAAAAAAGCATCCAAATGCATCCATCCATCTCCTCAAATTTCCCACATACAGACATTATTTCTAACACAAGATCTGTTGTGAAGATGATATACATCTGCCAACATATAACTGTCATAACTTACGAAACAAGTCTGCGATTCTTTACAATTTGCTATATCTAAATATTTCTCTGAACCAGTATTCCGATATGAATATGTAATTTGTCGAAATTTACGAATTCGCAAAAAATTGGACACGAATGTTCGATTTCCTTCAAATTTTGCACATACCAATTTAATTTATCTGTATTAGATGAAGTATGAAAATGGAATACTTTGGTCCGCTATATCTGTTACCTGACGCATATTTCCATTTTCCGAAAATGTGCACATATCTCATATAAAGTACAAGAAGCAGTCGATATAGTCCAAATCTGTCGCGTTCATATCTCAAGGCTGAGGGTAACCATCTGTCGGCAAAACTGGCTGATACTATTTTACTTGTTTTTATACCCTACACCACAAAGTGGTCAGGGTATTATGTCTTTGTGCATTTGTTTGTAACAGGCAAAAGGAAACGAGACAGACCCATAGTTCCTTTTGATGATCTGCATAGAATCACATTCTGAGTCGATTTATGCATGTCCGTCCGTCCGTCTGTCCGTCTGTCCATGTATTTTTGTAAACAAAGTACAGTTCGCTTTTATTTTCCTATCCAGATGAAATTTTGCACAAATCATTTGTTTGGAAACCTATTGAAATTAGAGATAATCGGTCAAAATTTAGATATAGCTCCCATATATATCCTCGTCCGATTTGCCTTTTATTGTCCACCAAACGTGTAATATCAGTCCGAATAGTATGGAATTATGAACGTACGATCAGATTGCACCTGAAAATAAGTATGCCAAATTTGATCGAAATCGGTTCAGATATAGCTATAGCTCCCATATATATTGTTCATCCGATTTGTTATTTTTGTCCTCCGCAGCCGTAATATGCAATCTGTAACAACAATATTTGGGGAAATATATCAAATACAGCTCAGAAATACGTTTGCTAAATTTTATCGAGATCGGTTCAGATTTGGATATAGCTCCCATATATAACTTCGTCCGATTGACCTTTTATTGTGCACCATACGTCTAATATTTGTCTAAATGGGATGGAATTTGGCACTTACGACCGAATTGAGTCTAGAAGCTAGTATGTCAAATTTGGTGAAGATCGGTTCAGATATAGCTATAGCTCCCATATATATTATTCATCCGATTTGTCATATTTGTTACCCACAGCCGTAATATGCACTCCGTAACAACGATATTCAGGGAAATATATCGAATACAGCTCAGAAATATCTTTGCCAAATTTTTTTGAGATCGGTTCAGATTTGGATATAGCTCCCATATATATCTTTATCCGATTTCAAATTAATTGTGCACCAAATGGGCAATACAAGTCCGAATTTAAAAGATACAAATTCTACGGCATATTTAGTCCTTTAAACTTTAAATTATAATTATAATTATAATTATAATTATAATTATAATTATAATTATAGCGTGTATGATTGAATTCTCCCATAAAAACTTTTAATTGTTATGCGGAGCTCTACTAAATTAGCAAAGTGGTGTGGGTATCATAAAGTCGGGCCCGCCCGACTTTAAGACTTTCTATACTGGTTTTAATATATTTATTGGGTATTTTATTTCACTTGAATCCAAATAATTAAATCATAATTGCTAAAAACAATTTTCAAAGTTTATGTGTATATGTACGTATATAATAATAAATTTGGGGATTTGTGGTGTATATATTTATGTGTAAAAAACTCTTCATGCAAACAAAACAAAATTTGAAAAAAAAAATTGATTAAAAAACACTACACTAATGTTTTGTTGAGTGGCGACCACGTTTTTTGGTCTCAACCGGAGCTGGAATTGAAAAGAAAAACATATTTAATGAAATAATTTCAATTAGATCTTAACTATAGTATTACCATCCTCGGGTATAGATGACAGCACCGAGCTAGGTGATCCCTTATCCTTGGAGCGTCGTGATCTGGTATTTTTCTCACTACCCACGGAACTGGCAATGCTGGCAGCATCGTCCTCATGTTCCTCCTGCAAATTAGAGTTGAAATTGAAATTCTTTCTTTGGGTTTTATTGTTTTTTGTTTCTCTCACCTTTTCTTTTACCGATCTCCTTGTGGTCCTTCTCTTCGTGGTGGCTGTGACATTGGAGGAGACACTCCTTTTCGAAGAAACTGACTCCTCATCTTCGCTGTCATGTGACACATTTGTGGCTGCCGATGAAGGTCTTGCAACCTTGCTGGCGGCGGCAGTGGATCGTTTGTTCTTCGGCGATGATTCCTTTGGGGGACTTTCCATATTTGTGGCGGAATTCCCTGGTGTTAGATTTGCTGTCTTTTCCATCATCGCCAATTGGGTGCGGGTTAAGCGACGTGATGATGAATACAGGGCCGATGACTCACCACCACTTTTGGGGGAATTGGTTTTCTTCTCTTCTGCCGCTTCCGATTCTTCTTTCTCGGCTGGCTTTTCGTCGGTGCTGGGCTTTCGTTTGGCCCCAATTCTCCTATTGCTTTCCGAGGGTTTCGGAGAAGGTGGTACACTTTCATTATCCTCTTCTGGCACTGATAGGATGCTGCGTCCACGTAAAGTGCGTGGCGTTACCACCGCTGCCTCAGATTGGGAACTAACGCTGTTACGCCTGTTTATTTTGGGAGTAACAGGTAAATCCCCTGAACTATTGCCGGATAGGGAAGTTCTTCGGCTACGTTTGGTTGCAGTTGCTGAGGGGGCTTCCGTTTCCATTGCCACTGAGGAGTTGTGTTCACTTTCATTGGAATTGAGGCGACTCCTGAAGCGTGTGTGACTTGCGGGCGAATCCACTACCGTTGAAGTGGGCTCCACTTCATTAATGGCATCCAGGAGAATGGAACGCCTACGTGTGGATACTTTTCCAGTGGCCGGCACCGAGGATCCTCGTACTGATCTTGAGGTTGTTTCTGTTTCACTGCTTTGTAATTTGCCCCTTTTGCTGGGCGTGGCTCCCAATTCCTGGTCAGTTTCTTCCTCGGTTTCCTCTAGTTTTGATTTTGGCTGCAAGGATGTAGCTCTTAGGCTACGACGGCGGCTAGGGGTGCTGGGTGCGGCGGTTGTTTCCAAATCAACTACACTTGGTGGAGGTACTGATGTGCCTCTGGTACCTCTAGGACGTGGTGATGCCACAGCTTCGGCCGTTATTTCTGCGGGTGGTACCGAGGTACCTCTTATACTACGTCTGGAGGATTTTATTTCATGTTGTGGTTGAGTGGTAACCTCAGCCGGCGTCACGGAGGTTGCCCTGATACTACGACGAGATTTGGTGTTTTTTGGCTCTTCTTTCGTCGCCCCTTCACTTTCGGCTGGTGTTACGGAGGTGGCTCTGACATTACGCCTAGATGTTGTGGGTTTTTGCACTTCTTCTCCACGGGATATGACCTCCTCCTCCTCCTCAGTTGCATCTGATGTTATCGTTGTTGCCCTGATACTGCGTCGAGATGTCGTTGTGGTCTTCGATTCTTCTCCAGGAGGTACTGAGGTACCCCTAGCAGTACGTCTGGGAGAAGCCGTCATGCCGGCTTGCAATTCAATTGGTGGCACTGAACTACCTCTTGTGGTTCGTCGTGGAGAGGCCACTGTCGAGTTATCGAGATTTGTGGAAACCGATGTTCTTCGTGTCCGTTTATTTCTAATCGGAAGTTCGGTCAAAGAATCGTTGACCTCTTCTTCTTCTTCTTGTAGTTTTTTACGTAGCCTAACTTCGGCAGCTTCAGCAGCGTTCATGGAGTCCTCATCATCGATGCGCAGGGTTATTTGTTCTTCTTCAACCATTGTGGGAGCTGATGTTTCTTCCTTGGACAAAGAATCGACAGTTTTGGAGGTTTCCTCTTCATGATGGGGGGATGATTCATGGGTGTCCATTTCCTGTATTTCTTCCGGTTTCTTTGGACTTTTAGATGCTCCACTTTCATCATTTTGAGTAGTTTCAGTTTCTCCTTCCTTAGAGGAGGGCTTCTCGAGTTCGTTTACTGAGCTTTCCGTTTTAGATTCGTTCTCTTTTGCTACTTCTTTCTCTAAGCTCGCTTCTTCTTCCGGTTTAGATATTTCTTCCCGTCTAGTTTCCTCCTCAGTTTCTGTGGGCTTCTCCATATCGGTTTCTTTTTCTTTGTCTTCCTCAGCAGTTGCTTCTTCTTCCCTGGTCTCCTTTGTAGAACTACTAACCTCTAGTGTTTCTTCGTGAAACTTTTCCTCCACAGCTTTGGAGCTAGAACTTGGAGCTTCTGGTTCCACAATTACCCCCGAAGATGTGCTCACAACCTCTTCCTTGGTTTCTTTATCCCCTTCTTCTGTACCCTTCAATCCCAATTTGCTAACCTCATTAGAGCCTTGTACCTCATCCACAAATTTAACATCCTCACTGTTACTCTCTTCGGGGAAGTTAGCACTTTTACGTTCCGTATCCGTCGAAGAATCATCCAAAACCTCGACAATATCTTCATCATATTCACGTTTATCATCCTGTGATTCAATTTCATCCTCATATGCATCGTCCTCACTATCACCGTTGGCATCTTCCGCATAATCATCATATTCACCTGTGTCAAAACTTCGTTCACTATCGATATCGGCACGTTCGGCAGATTTGTTGGGTGATTCCTCACCATCGGTTTCTCGAACCTCAAAGGGTCGGCCGTAATCGTTGTCATCAATATAGGATGAGGAGGAGGACAGAACAATGCAGTCATCTTCATCGGAACTACAGAGTAGATCACCCCAATCCCGTTTGGCTTCCGAATCATCTTCGTGTTCATCACTTATGTCGGCTGGTTTGAGAATATATTGGACTTCTTTGTTTGCCTCTGACTCTTCATCAGTGACATCCATTTGTTCCTCCTCTTCTTCTTTTTCCTTTTCTTTGGAAGATTCTTTGATTTCTTTTTCCTTGGAAATTCCTTCCATTTGTTCAATATCATTCTGCTTGGAAGGAGAATCTTTTTTACCCCCCACATCTTCCTTTTCCAGGGATTTTTCTTTCACCTTCATTTCCTCCCCTCCTTGTTTTTCTTTTTCTTCGGAAACTTCTTGCTTTTCTTCTTCCTTTTGCTCAATTTCCTTTTGATCTTTTGATGACAAATCTCCTTCCTTGTCCTCCCTTGTCTCTTCCTTCGAGCTAACTTCATCTCTGGCCGTAAACATTAATGAAGATTTCCCCGAAGCCGTGGTATCCAAGACAGAAAAATCATAGGTACTCATACCCAATGTGGTATCGAGCATTTGTTGTTTCTGTTCTTCTGTGGGTGCCCTGTCTTTGGCCTTCTCCACCGGCGGCGGTATACTAGGCATGGCAAAAATATTATTAGAGCCTCCGGCCACTGAGCTGGTGTAATCAAATGATCCCACCACGGTAGAGCATTCGGAAAGTTTTGTGGCTTTAATTTCCAATTTAGTTTCCGTCTTAAATGGTGTCGAGAAATTACCCACTTTGGAGGAAGAAACTTTGGGTATAAAACTACTGCCAGCAGAGGCAAGAGTACTACGAGCCGACAGACTTCCAAACCCGCTGGAAGTTTGTGAAAAACGGAAATTACTACCACCCTCAACATTCGCCATGGCTGTGGTATAGGCCTGGGATTCTTCGACCTTTTGATTGGCGGCAACACTTGCCAACGATTTGCGCGATGAAATATTGAAAATACTTGGTCCAGCCGCTGTCACATAGTGTTCGGAAAGGGTCTCATCTTTGTTAGCCACACAACTTTCATCGGCTTGCATTTGGACTTCTTTCTCAACTTCTTCATTTCCTGTCATTGATTCGTGGATTTCGCTAGGCTTTGTTGTCGTCCAATTTCGTGAGATTTCTTTTTCTTTTGATTTCCTCTCTTCTTGAGGAAACTTCCTCTCTTCTTGAGACATCTTATATCCTCCAAGTTCTTTTTCCACGGACTTAGTCCCATTTTCTTGCAGTTCTTTTTCTAGGGAATCTCTATTTCTTGGAACTTCCTTTTCCATAGATTTTCTATTTCCCTGCGTTTCTTTTTCCATGGATTTTCTCTGCTCCCCTTCAATTTCTCCCGACAGCCTTGATATTGGTCTCCTTGGCTTGGGTCCGGTCACAAAACTACATCTACTCAAAGTTGAAGAATCCAATTTTGAAGTGTTTTGCGAAGATAAAGGCGAATAGAAATTATCCTCGGATGGATTACTGGAGCTAACAGAACTTTTATTAGATTCCACCGACAAGGAACGGACAATTTGTTTCTTCCTTAAATCAGAATTCTTAAAGGAGGGTTTGTTTGCCTTAACAACTAATTCCAGTTCCTCCTGTTGATCTTCACATTCCATTTCCTCTTGATCGTCGTCTTCCTTCTCCTCGCCGACCATTCCCCCGTGCTGGGAAATGATGGAATTATTCAAATCCCTTGAGGGCAAACGGAAACGTAAATTCTTTTCCTCATCTGGTTGGGAGGCGGAGGAAGAGGTCAAACCAAATTCACTGTTGCTGGATTTCAAAATGCTTTGTAACTCGTGGTGTGGTTGGGCTTCCTCACTTTCTCGGGGCGCCAAACTGCCAGATTTATGGCCTAACAATGGTTTGGTTAATATATCCAAATTTTGTGGCTCCTGTCGGGATAGCTCCTCCTCCTCCTCCTCTTTTTCTGAAGTGCTTGTCTTTTCATGGAACCTAAAATCATTGGCATTTAATTTTATGGCCTTTTGTTTATTCATTTCCATGAATTGTTTCAAATCGTTGACAATATCCTGGCCCACCAGACGTCGTTTCTTTTTGGGATTTAGTTGATTTTCCATTTTCTGCCTTTCCATTTGTTCCTGTTCATCGCTGGCCAGGATTTCACTTTCAATTAAATTACGTTTCTCTCGCACTTTGTAGACTTGGGGATATGATATGGCGGGTTTGTTTAGGAAATCAACAAAATTTGTATCATTCTGTGGCTTCCGCAGAAAGGGGGCATTATTTGAACTGAGCAGGTGTTTGGCACCATTTTGATGTCTCTCCTCATCCATTTCGCCCCAGTAGTAGGTGGCAAAATGGGCACTCAAGGCCGAACTGTGATATATTCCACCCAATAGGCTGTTGGCATTTTGCTTGATCAGTTGACAGCTCAACGGCACTGGCGACTTGTTGTCCACATCTTTTTTCTTGATTTTATTTTTAATGCGAAAATAAACATCCGTTAGACCCTGGGTCACGGGTGTCATGGTGGTATTGAAAGCAGATAATACCATGTTTGGGGTTTCCATTTGGGCTGGCGGTAGATTGCCTCTCAGTGTCTTGGGTTTGGAGGACAATTCATCCATGTAAGATACGGCCTCAATGTATTTGGATTTTTGCAATAGATACACAAAATGTAGGCTTTCCGCTCCTGGAGCTTTGCTACGTTTCAAAATGTTTTGTAAAATTAAACCCTCCTGTTCGCTAAGGGCCAAATCGCGTATAACACCAAACTGCCCTTGACTCAAGCAGCGGGTGAAAAAATATTCCATTAGGGCATTATCATTTTTGGAACGTACAAAATGAAAGGCCTCGGATATTAAATCATTGCATAGCAATGTCTTCAGTTTAAGCATGGGAGCAATCAGGGAAGGCTGGGATTCCAAAATACGCAAGGCCAAGTTGGCAGCATTTTGGGTTAACAGTGACTCTATTAGCAACTCCACCAGCCATTGGGGATAGGATTGGTTTTTGTTGAACGGCGATATGAACTCTTCCACGGCAGGCTGTAAATATTATAAAGAAAGAAAAAAAGCAAATTGAAATATAAATTAAATTATTTTTTTTTTTACATAATTATTTCTTACCAAAAACTGATCATGATCTAGATTCCAAAAGGACTGTACCGTTTTGATCAATGCCGCCGATAGCTTAAATACACTTGGAAATTTAATAAAATTCGCCACCACATTCTTATAGGCCTCCTCATCAATGGCCATGTTTAGGTCCAAAAAGAAATACAATAATATTGCATATTTCTGTTCATAATCCAATTCGGGCACAAGCATAACGCGCAGCATGGCTTCCAAGGAATTTGGTGGATATAGGCCATCT